GAGTAGGGGGATGTGCAATACTTGGTAGCTGTTGAAAAGGGAGGAGGGTGGGAGGTGGTGATGGTTTTGGTTTTGGTGGTGGTGATGCAGACACTTTTCAATCGGGTGACCTAAACCCTGTGGCAGTATAACCCGCCGCTCACTGCCACCAGCCCAACTGCCACCAGCCCGAGTGCCACCAGCCCAACTGCCACCAGCCCAACTGCCACCAGCCCAACTGCCACCAGCCCAACTGCCACCAGCCCGAGTGCCACCAGCCCAACTGCCACCAGCCCAACTGCCACCAGCCCAACTGCCACCAGCCCAACTGCCACCAGCCCAACTGCCACCAGCCCAACTGCCACCAGCCCAACTGCCACCAGCCCAACTGCCACCAGCCCAACTGCCACCAGCCCAATTGTCTGGTGGTGCGCCACCACGTTGCGTTTCCCCCCGGGGGCCCCGGTGTGCTCCACCCCTTCACCCCGCCACACCCCTGTACTTCATGTGTATGGCTCCCTCCCCCTCAACAACCCCCCCAGTCACCTGGTGCTGGCGGACCATCTCATCCATCTCCAACTGGGCTCGTCTCCGGGCCTCACGCTCCTCCTGCGGTGGGCGGCGAGGTGTGCGGGGGTCGCGTTACTTCTGCACTTAGGCCTAAAGCGGCAGGCGGCACACCCACATGCAGTCAGGGCCATCAGGGTCATTGGGTCTGTAGGGGGCTGCTCAAGGCAACCCTAAGGCCACGTAATGAGACCGAAGCCGCGGGGGGCCCCTACCTCTCCAAGCAGCCATGGCGCCTCACGGGCCTCTCACGGGCACAGGCGGCCGCATGGCCGCTCACGGGCCGCTCACGGGCACAGCCGGTCGCGGCCGCATGGCCGGGGCGGGGCAGCGGCTCAACTCGCACACCACAAGCCACACAAGCTGCTCTCAGCCTATGTCCCCCCAAGCCTAAATTCGCCCTACCTCCCCCCAGACCCTAATTCATGTAGTGGGTGGTGCTGCTTCCCCTCCCCTCACACCCTCCCTCCCCTCTCCCTCCCCCACCTCACTCACCTCTCCTTTCCCCACCTCCCTCCCCCACCTCCCTCGCCTCTTCCTCCCCCATCTCCCCCCCCATCTCCCTCGCCTCTCCCTCCCCCACCTCCCTCCCCTCCCCTCCCCCTCCTACTGGTCAGTTTTGCTTCTTGTACACTTTTTCCTTTGCAGCAGCTTCACTCGTTTGTGGTTCGTCTTTTCCCTCCCCCTCCTCTCCCTCCTCCACCTTTCCCTCCCCCGTCTTTCCCTCCCCCACCTCCCTCACCTCCTTCTTCTTTGCCACAATCTCCATTTGCTCCTGCACCATTGCCAGCGTGGCCTTCTTCCTCTCCGCCTCTTCCAGCTGCTGAGCCGCCTCAGCCTTGCGAGCCAGCTCGTCCTGTACCAGCGTCATCCGGCCAAAGTCCCCGTTGCGAACGTAGGCCTTGCGGTTCAGGGTGCGCTGCGGGAGAGTCCAGTCTAGGGAGGAGCTGCCGGTGCTCTGGACGGGGGGGGGAGGGGTAAGACGAACCACTGTTGAATGAAGCAGATACCCGAGGTAGGCGGATACTCCGCGCAGGATTAGACCGCGGAGGGAGGGGGAAAGGAGTCGCGGGTTAGTAATCGGCTGTGTGGCAGAACGGGTTGATGTTTACATTCTTTATCTTCTTCGGATTTATATTTATAAATACTTATATACGTATATATATATGGATACACGCATGTGTGTGTGTTGGGGGGTTAAGGGCTGAAGTTGATGAAGGGCTTGGGGAGTAACGACACATCCGAAATACACACGCACACACGCACACGCACACGCACACGCACAGGGCCCCCCACCCCCACCCAGAGCTCCAAAAGTCCGGAAGTCCATAATGATGATCTCCTCCTCCCCCTCCTCCTCTTCCTACGGCACCGAATCGCCCTCCGGTGCGCCTTTCCTTTCACACCAACCTCACGTCGTTGGAGAGCCCCAGCGGGGCGAGTGTGAGGCAGTGTGAGCCAGGTCAGGGACCCCAGCCCCACACCAGCGAATGTGGCCCCCACCCACCCACCCACCCACCCACCCGCGAGCTGTTCCGCGAGTACAGCGGCACCCCCGTGTGTGCGGTGGAAGTGGACGCCGCCTCCTGGAGGTCCTTCCTAGCGCCCCCGGGGGCACCCGGCTGCGGCTGGTGGGGCTGCTGCGGGGGCGGAGGCCGCCCGCCCACACAGGCGGACTTAGAGCGGCGGTCCGAGGGGAGCCCGGAGGCCGAGGGGGGACCTGAGCCTCCTTCTTGCGCCTTGGCTGGAGCGTTCTTAGCGATCTGAAGGCGGCAGTGCGGGGCGAGGGGAGGGGGGAGGGTGAATGAGGAGCCGACCATACATGTCCCCGGGACAGGGACTGACAACAACCCCTCACAAGGACTGAAAGTCCAAGGCATATTTACGTCCTCGTAAACGCATTACATACAGGCGCACATGACAACGGTGTGCATGTGTGTGTGTGTGTGTGTTGGGGGGGAAGAGAGAGGCCAGGGGACCAATGCTCCACCTCCAGAGACAACGGAGGGCTGTGTCCCCTGAGTGGAGTGGGCTGCGTTAGGCTCCCTTCACCATATTGAACGACCATAGGTTTGTCCCCTTCTTTTCGCCATAACTCCATCCTCATCACACGTGCTCCCACAGCTTGCGTGCCTGGCTCAGCATGAGGCGCTTAATTTGCGACTTGAGCGCTTCCAGGTCGGCCTCGCTCTCCTTGTAGGAAAGAAGGAATGCTTCAACCAGCTTGATCGCTTGATAGATGCCGTCATTGATTGGGCTGTCCTTTAACCCAGGCTGCAGCTTTGCCACCAATGCCTCCTGAAAGACATCGCAGCAGGATTGTGAGTTTGAGTTCAATTTTGTCGTGTGCCAATCTTTGGGAAATGAGGAACTATTCGTATGCAAGCTCAGAACCCTTAGATACTGAATGGGAAAAGCCGCGTGCAAGCGTAAATGCATCCGATGAACACGACGCAAAATGGTGTAATAATGATAACACCGAATGGATATCTCTTCAGGGATATCCCATCGCTGCTGTATGCCGCCCACCTTCAACGCCTCCGCAGCTAACCCGACCGGGCCCCGCTTCTGTCCGCCGAATGACATGCCTTGCAGCTGTAATTCTACGTTTAATAATGATAGCTTACGAAGGGTATGTGAAGATATGGACAGTTGTGACAATCTATACAGAGGCGTGGCACGAGAATTTATACATCCGTGTTAATGTGTTACGTGATTAAGTGGAACTCGGTGAAGGTATTTGTGCTTTGCTGTTGAGTTTCCATTATCATAGCTTCAATGTATGTGTTCGTTACGACGGTCTTAGATTCGTGTAGCAAACAAATGCGGACCAGACATCAATTTAATTTCTCCCATAAATTGTATGGATGTAGGTTCGTGCTCGAGAGAACCATGTATCGCAGGCTGAGAGCGTTTTGCGTAACCATCCAAGCTGTCTAGCTTGAAACATATCCACCAGCAACATGAAGCAAATCAGGAGTTCAGGATAACATTATGCTATGAAAATCTTATCGAATGGATTCACCTACGGCGTTCGATAGTGCTCGCCCTAATCCGTGAAGTAACCATCAACGACACATTTGTAACAGAATTTGAGTTGACCTAAGCAGAGCAGTCTCGGCACCTCGCCGTTTTCGCAGGATTATCATGTCGCAAATTAAGGTGTCCTATCTTCCGGTAAGTAGAGGAATGTCTCCAGATTTCCCCTTGGGCCGTCTCAATATTACCCCAACTTGGTAACTGCCACGCGATATCTTACCTGAGGATCGCTAGTAAGGAATGCAGCTGGAACGCGCCACCGCGCCCACGGCCACGATCTGCTAAGCTAGTAGGGGCTATGCCTAAGGCGCTGCATTTTTCTGCATCGCCGGCAGGGGGTGGATGATGTGGCCCCGTGTCTTTGCCATAATGAGGCGCAACTATCCGTACATCGATATTTATAGTACCAAATATGCCCCTGCAGCAATGCACCCATGCTCAACCTCATCCGGCTTGATAACCTTTCGAGGTCTTGTCTGATGCACCGGTAAGCAGTACGGCTAATGCCGTACTCGTGCAGGACGGCCACAATGGTGATAATTCCAGCAAAAAATTTAGCACTGCTAAACCACACAGCTAAACCACAACAGGCCATGAGTGCCTTCAATAGATACACGCTCCCTAGGGGTTCTAGGCTGTCCTTAAAAGATTTGCTGTACTTCTGTGGGCTTTGAATGTGCGCGCCTAAGCAAATTCGCTGCGTTTGGAGCCGTCTATATAACCCGTATGTATGTCCAATAGAGTAACAACCTAGGTCAGCGCGGATGGGCAGTGCTTGGCATGGGCGTGCACAACCTGTCTGCGGCTTTCCGTTCCCCGCTGTCGTACACGTCCGCACACATTTGAGTCCGCCACACGACTCGTTTCCCGCCATGAGTAAGAGTGGGTGTCCCTTCTGGCCCTGTCCAGCAATGCATTAACTTTTCGGCCATTCGGGCAATGTTATTAGCCACTCACTCCTCACTTAGTCTCTACACCCGGTGAGATTCGGACTCACGCAGCTTTCGCTATAGGAAAATCCATCCTCAAAGCTTGAGACCCACCCATTAGACCACTCCGGCACAGGTGCAATCCGAGATCTGCTCGGAACGCCGAGGATGTCTCCGGCCCCAATTGACACAAACCAGATCCCATCCAGACATGCTTTTGTACGTTCATCCTGCTCCTGTGTCCGTGGTCGAAAGCCGAGACGACGGGTGAAATGGGACCGTGTGCCTGGACTAGATCTCTAGGACACACAGACAGCACTGGATCCCGCTTTACCTCGGGCATACATAGCCCTACCTGGAAGGCCAAGCACCGTGTCTTTAAGAAGGCTACTAGGAAGGCCGCTATTCAGGAGACCGAATTGGAAGATGTGCGAAGGGGGATTACGGACCCCCCGTCCAATCCACGCGGCCTGTGGACAAGGCTGCGTGGGGGAAAACCGCCTCCTTGCGGGATCTCAGATATGAATGTTTTTACCGAGCATTTTTCCAAGGTGCTTAATGGCGCGGGCGACGGGTACACAGCTGCAGGCGCTAGGATGCGGGTAATGTCCTTGTTACCCGCATCCTGCACCGTGGTTCGTTTAGGCCCGCTGTGAATCGTGTCGAAGATGGCTGCTGGGCCAGCGAGGCTAACCAATTTAAATGGCAGGATGAGGACCGGGTGACGCACCGACGGGGATTGGCGGCTTGGCTTAACAAGGATTTTACGAAGGCCGAAATTGTTAGCAGTCTCAAGGCTATTTGCAACAATTAGTCCGCGGGCCTGGAGGGAACCCCGGCCGAGTATTTTAAGTACGCTATCAGGGAGAGTGAAGGGCAGCAGCCCGTGTTTGTGTTGGCACCTTCCTTGACGGTGCTATACAACCGGATGTACGGAGCTGAGTACCCCAGCGGGTTTTACTGCTAGCACCCGTATTCAAGAAAGGGGGCGCGTCCTGCTGCGATAGCTTCACTTGTTTATATTAGGGCGTCTCATTTCGAAGCACCCAGTGGCCGAAGCCATGCCGCTTATTGTCATGCAAATTGACTTAAGGCTTTCGACTCCGTTGACCATGAGACACTTTGGGGCTTCCTCGAGTCGCATGGGCTACACGGGGGCATCCTTGATTCTCTGAAGGCTATAGTTATGCTGACGTGAAGGTTTGGGTCAAGTTGGGGAATAGGTTGGGACCTGAATTCACTGTGGGGCGTGGCGTGAAGCAAGGGTAACCCTCAGTGAAACCCTTTTTGGACTCTTCATAGAAGTGCTCGCACATGACATTGATGCTCATGATGCTGACTGCCGCGTCAGCATCAGACTGACCTAGCCGATGGAGCACTCTGTGATCTTCAGCCACTCCAAAAGGAGCTTGACCTCTACACCCGGTGAGGTTCGAACTCACGCAGCTTTCGCTGTGGGAAAGCTCATTTTCAAAGCTTGAGACCCACCCGTTAGACCACTCCGGCACAGGTGCAATCCGAGATTTACTCGGAAACCCAAGGATGTCCATAATGCCAAATGATATATAACAGGTTTCAGACGCAGACATGCTTTTGTACGTTTATCCTGCTCCTGTGTCCGTGGTTGAAAGCCGAGACGGCGGGTGAAATGAGGCCGAGTGTGTGCCTGGACTGGACCTCTAGGACACACAGACAGCACTGGATCCCGCTTTACCTCGGCCATGGCCCATCCGGTCCCACCTGATGGGCTGCTTGGTGTTCTGAACACTCACACACTGCTTCACCGCGCACCATCAGTCCTCTGGCTGTGTGGCACACGTCCCTCCTGCCAACATGCAAGCTCGGCTCACTACACCCTGCACCGCCTGCAAGTGCTCAACACTGCAATACCTACCGTCGTGCGGCTCCTATTAGTGTCCACCAGGCCCAGCCGCGTACTTGGTCAGCGCTGTGCGGGGCTAGCACGGCTTCCCTCTCCAGCTCGCGGCGGGGAGGAGGCATCTGTGGTTGACAAATATCGGATCAGAACAGCCCGGTGAATGAACCTTCTTGCCTGACCCCGACGTGTTTGACACCTGTGGCAGTGTGGCTTATGCCTTCCATATGGTAGTGTTAAGTTGGAGGGCATAGCTTCACCCATGGCCACTAGCCTGGCAGACCTGCCTTCCCAGATGGTTCGGGGCACCCTCACCCTTCTCACCCATGAAAACTTGCATCGGTGCCTGCCTGATGTTGCCTGAACGTGCCTGGTGTGGGTGCCTGAGGTTGGGTTTGCGTGACGTCCGACCATATGCCAGAGAATGGCAACATGGATAGTCCCCTATCCATGTTGCCCTTACACCGCCGGCCCCCTTATCATTGCTGGGGTTCATGGTCCCACAGTGTTATGTTGGCTCGCCCCTATACCGGGGCAAAATCCTCAGCGGTCAGGCTCAAACAACTCACGTTTGTGATCGCCAAATAAATTGCAGAGATGATTTGGAAATCGCAGGAGTAACAGACAAACGAGAGTTGGATTCTGAAATTACGGTCAGCATGCAGTACCGGAGGCCGTCGGGGACGTTTAAGTAGCTTTGAAAGTCGTGAAAGCAATGGGGACGAGAATAACAAGCCCCTGAACCAAAGACCTTTCGTGAGAACTGCGGCTCGACACGGAGTAGTTTGCTACTCCTGCAGCTCGTTCGTTGGTCAACATTCATTCTATATGTTCGTGTCGTTCACTTCCTGCATGTACGCTGCGTTCGTTTATGGCTGCCGCTCCCGGTAGTCGGGCCGGTCTGGAGTCGGTGTAACTTGGATGGCTACACCTGCCATAACGCCGCATCTTGTGCTATTTACAACAGCGCGCAGCACAACATGCTGGAACTATTGCCCTGCACAGTAGGGCCCAGCAGGGGTTTCAGCCAAGCACGCCCATGACGATAACAATATCTTGTAACGCACCGCCCACCGTCCAAACTCACCGCTCTCGCCTCACAGACACCGCCGGATCACCCAGCAATCGACACACAATCCACGACAAGCGACATTAATTGGCAAGCCGAAGTTTCTGCGCCGAGCAATCAGGTTATCGCAAGAGCTCGTAAGGCCCAGACGAGCCAGGAGGCCTATGGACCGCGAGACCAAGCGAGAAAGACAGACAAGGGCTGTGTCGGCTTCCTCGAAGCCGGAAAAAGGGCGGGGCCCCTCTGCATCCGTACAGGCCGGTAGCTAGGGCGGCAAGTGTGACAATTGATGGGTACTGTCAACATGGTGGGAGCTGCGCTTGTTGCAGCAGTGCTGATGCTTGGGAGGTATGCCTGTCGGAGCGGGGGAGGCAGGAAGCCGGGGCTCATAACCTGTTGAAGAGGCGGTGTCTCTGGAACCTAGCAGACACGGCTAAGAGTCATTGGTCGTTACATTTAGTCGGGAGGTCCGCGACCTGCCACCGACAGCCCCTTGCTTGGGTGTAGAAGTATGAGTCTGAGGTGCCGTTACCTGAGGGCCGCCAAGTCCGCGGTCCAGGCCGGCTGCTCAACGCTCAGCAGACACAATCGCAGCTTGCCGGCCTTCAGCCTGTTGGCTTTGCGGTCTGATGCCGCAGCCATAACACACACGGAAAACAGCGCCGTAAAGCACCGTACGCACTGCCTACGGCGCCCATTCAGGCATTGGCTCACGCGCCCTTGGCGCCCCCCTCAAAGCCTAGCTCGACACACTTCCCCAAAGCCCTCAGCACTTTCCGGTGCTGTCTGTGATGTTTATCCCCGAAGCGCGAGCGGCACACAGCCGCGCGGCACACTGCAACTCTTCGGAGGCCCCGAGCATTGGCCGAAGTGAATGCACAAACGAGCAGCTTGCGTATTTCATAGGGAAATGTAAGCAAATTTGTCGGCCTGCTGGTGGCAAGTCGGAATGCAGGCAAATGGTAACACAAGCTGGGTGTTCGAGTTATCATACGCCGTCATCTCAGAATTAAACTATGAGATACACGACACCTTTTGAGAGGAAATTTAGGCCGAGAGGCGTTGATGTGACTTTGACCCCGGTCAATGGAGGCAGCCAAACTTGTTTGTGCTCATACGATTTTTGCTGGCCACAGGCGAGATACTTTGCAATAGAGAATGCAGCATATTACCGTTTCAGCCGGGCGAGATATTATGTTTGGTCCGTTACACACACACGGCCACATGGCCACACGGACATGGGCAATCCTACAGGGCGGGGGGCCCCCTGGCCGCTTCGCGCCGGGGACCAGCCCCCCAAAAAGGCATTTAGGAACCAGCAGCGAAAGCACCAGCTGCAGCAATATCAAGGGAAAGGAAGGAAACTATCAGCCTAGTAATGATCCGCGCCGAATCCAAATGTCATGGATTAATTCACCCAGTCCGCGCTGGGTTATCAACGCACGTGACAAGAAGCATACACGGATGGGTATGGCCACCTAGTTTGACACCCAACAGAGCGAAACCCTGACGGATGTTGTCGTACGCCGTACATTCCATTAGCAAATGGAACTCGTCCTCAGCGGCGTTGCAACAATTTCTACAGGCATGTTCGTCCCTTTGCCGACCAGCAGGGCTATTAACCTACGAAGGCCAAGCCCCCAAACGGAAACGCCGGTGCGACACGTACGACTTGGCGGGAATTATCATGCCATGTGTTTCGGCATTCCCATCAAATTCGTGAGCCGACACATTTTCACTTCAGGCTTGTGATTATCGCTGACAAACTCACAAGAGCGCGTGCGGAGCCGGCTGCCTAGCCAGTCCTCACCGATACTCTGCTCAAACGTCCAACGCAGGCTCCCGACATTAAGTGAATTCGCCGCCCTGATTAACCTTTTTTCTATGCACGAGTACGGCACTAGTCCAGACCAGAATGCACTACAGTTGAAAATAATTGTAACCCAAAGCCATGCCAATAGAGCTTGAAAATGCTTCATCCTTAAGGAAATCAAAAGGCCCATCCGGCAGGTCATTCTTAAACACACTTGGATACAGAACTTTTGGCCGTAGCAGGATTAAAATGAAGGCAAATGCAAATCTGTACCTTATTATGCATGTAGACAGTGTGTGTAAGTGAGAGTCAGATTTAACGGGCACCTTCGGGAAAAGGCTGAAACAAGGGTACGTGTGACTGAGTCAATTGAGAGATAAGCCTATACGATAAGATAAACCTATGCTCAGTTCTTGGGCTCAGGATCTCGTTCGGCACCTTGGTCGTCGCCTTCGCATCCCGTTCATTTATAATGAATACATTCTTCCTACCCATCTGAAACTGTCAAGGGAGCTGTACCAACCCAGTGTCTGCCCACGTGCCATTTTATTGAGGACCCGCTATGCGTGCGCTTCCTTGCGGGTGAAAACTTGCCTCCTCCACAGGCCCATCCACATTCACCTTTGGTGAACCCCAAAGACCCGCCATGGCCCTAATCACGGCGCATGCTCCTTCATGCCCTTCTGCTGGACACTCGGCATTGAAGGTGGGATGCCAATTATCCAGCGCTGCTTCACCCTCGACCGCGGCAAACCAGCGGCCGCGGCGTCAGCGGAAACAGCAGCAGCAACCGTTCCTGCTGCTCCTGCTCTTGCCCTTCTTAGCAGCATCCGTACCCACGGCCATGAGTTCAGGCAGCCTCTCAGGATGCCCTCAATGGGTCCTGGATTACATTGCCTTCCATAAGGCCACCCGCCTTGAACCCAGTGCCAAGTATGTCTTGCATACCTGCTACGGCGGCATATGCGGCGGTGTGGGCGACAGGCTACGCGGTGTGCTGTGGTCGGCACGCCTGGCCGCCGCAACCCGCCGTGTCCTCCTCGTCTCCTGGCGCCGACCCTTGGATCTGACCCACTTCTTTCAGCCCGCCGCCATTGACTGGACTTTAGAAGCCATTCCCCAGTCCGCGTTGGGCTCCTCCGTGCAGCAGGTGCGCTGGCTGGACTCAGCGCCCGCGGAAAGTACACTGACCTCATTGCAGCCGGATGCGGTGGTGTGGCAGCTGGAACACAATACCATGGAAGACGCCGCGGTGGGGCCGGGCGCGCCGGACATGCCGCTTTGGAGCGATGCCGCAGCATGCATGTTCCAGGTCTGTGTGTCTGTGTGTGCGGGACGGGGGTCAGAGGGGCGGGTCAGAGGGGCCGGGTGACGCGAGGGGGGGATATTAGCTACATATTAGCTCATTATGACGACGTTGTGATCGATCACCCGGTCACGAGGAGGAGGAGGGAGTCATGCGCGAGCAGCTTAGGAACTGACTGACAAGGAGGAGGAGGGGGGGGTCGCCAGCGCAACAGTCATCGTAGGATTCGTGGGGGGAATCTCCGGCATTGCGACCGGCGCCGCGCTAAGGCGAAGGCCGTCGCGCACCGGAAGGCCGTACCACCACCACCCACCACTAACACCGGAGCCAACAAGCCTTCAGGAGAAAGAACGCCCTGTAGGGGGGGGCCCTCGCCACCACCCCGGGGAGACGCGCACCTGGGACCTCCGCTACCTCCGGGCTGTAACGGGATTCAGCCACTTGCATATACGTGCATGTATGTTATGTTGTTATGTGAGCCATGTAAGCATGTGCGTGTGGAGGGCTGGGAGGGCTGGGAAGGCAAGTAAGGTAACACGCAACTCCATAAAGACCCTAGGGTTCCTTCCAGAGTCGCAAACGAGCGCCGATCGGAACGGAACTCACCGGCTCCCTCACCCCCTCTGATGCCACGGTGCATGCATGCAGGCGCTCTTCCAATTCACGGACCTTGTGAAGGGCGCTATCGATGAAGAGCTGATCAAGTTGTACGGCAGCTCGCAGGTGCAGTACAGTGCGACCCACTTGCGCGTCGGTGGCCTTGTCGGCGAGGGCGAGGCCTCTATCGGCCTGAGCCGCTTCAGCAAGCTCAACTACTTTTTGCGGAGCTTGGATTGTTTGAAGAACATAAGTGGTTCGAGTGACGCGGCTGGGTGGGTGGCGAGCAGCGCCCCCTCGTGGCCCGCGCGGCTGGTGGTCGCTGACAGCAACTACCTTACCTCCATGATCCGGGAGGGGGTGCTGCCTGGCTTGGTAGTGCCCTCGTTCGCGGCAGCACACCTGGACACGGTGAATATGGCCGATGTCAAGGTGAGGTGGAGGGGTTGGTGTGTACGTCTGTGTGTGTGTGTGTGTGTGTGTGTGTCGGAATGTGGGTTTGGTTCCCCCTGGGGTGGGGCTGGGCACACTGGGCTGGGAAGACAGCCGCTGGGACGAAACAAAGCTGGGTTTGCATGTGCTTGGCCGCTGATGGGGAGATGGGTGAGGTAATGTACGGCGCATCCCCAGCAGTACATCTGGGTGTTTTTTGGGGGGGGAAACCAACGATCACGGGTAGCCCGAGGGGACGGCGTGTGGCTCTGGGACGACAGATTGTCGGCGGATTGCGAAGACGTCTCGGTTTGGGTTTCGTTTTCGCCCAACCAGCCTCCTCAGTGGACTTTTGTTGCAACATCAACAACAACTTGTATTTCCTCGTGGTGCACCTTTCCTTTGCACATCGTTGCTCTCAGCCGCAGCCTCTCATCCTCATGCATCTCGAAAAGGAGCGCATGACCCTATGGCTGCATTTGCCGGAAGTTGGAATAGCCTGGCATGCGCTCCTCACCTCGCCATCGAGAAGCCATATCATGCCGCAAACACCGCATGTCGCACACCGCCGCAAGCTGCCCGCAGCCTTTCCTAAGCTCACCTTTCGCTTCACTATCTCCTCCTCCCTCGCCGTCTGATCGAAAACCTGGCCTGCCAACCCCGCCCGCCTTAAACACTGCTCGCAATGTTTCGGCCGTGCGGCTGTGGCGCCGGCCCACACGCCCCCCTCGTGCACGCGCAGCTGCACGCCACCACCTTCATATCGCTGGGCCTGCTGTCCCGCGCGCACTGCGCCGTCTACACGGACTCGGGCTTCAGCCGTGTGGCGTTCTACCTGGGTCGCCAATCTTGTGTCGCCATCATGCCCCGCCACGAGAGCTCTCTCAGCGTCCTGCGGGATGTCGGGGCCCGGGGGGAGACTCGGGCGCTGGTGTGCGACGCCTCCGATATGCCGAAACCAAGGCGCCACAAGCTGTGAGGTGATGCGGTCCTCACCAAGGCATAGATACGGACATCTGAGGGGAATAAATAGCGGGCGAGTTAAGAGAGTGGCGGGACTCTAGTGTTGATATGGATATGGATCTGCGACGGGATGGCGATGGCGATGAAGGGTCATCATATCCCATACGCGATTGGATTTGCCAGCAGGCTAGAGTCGCGGCCCGTGCCGTACTGTAGGCGGGTCGTGTTTAAGCATAGGCCAGCGAAGGCGGGGAGGAGGGGGAGCTTTTCGCCGTGTGCGGCGAGGAAGAGGGGGGAAGACGAACCACGAGCGAGTGAAGCTGATGCCACTGAAAGAGTGCTGCGGCGGTTGTGAAGAAGAAGTCCAGTCGCGATGATGTAGTCATTACGACAGCGGAAAACTACCTACCTAGCCGCCAAGACTAAAATAAAGTACGGAAAGAGAGCAGGAAAACCATCCGTACTATTCTAGAGGTAGGTGTAAAGGCGGCGAAGAGAAAAAAGCTGACGTGGGTTAAGGAAGCGGTAATGTAAGCTGGAAGAATGGTTCGCCGGACTGGCGGCGCATTTCAGAAAGCTGGACAGAACTGGCTGATAAGGAAGAGGGGAGGGGGGCCCGTAGGGTTAAGAAAGGTGTTGATGGCAAAATATGTTTTGAGCGCCTCATGTCGCAGTCTTGGCCGAGCAGGAGAGCATTCCCGCATTCTTTTGACTCTTCTGAGACGTCCTGGGGGGTAACGGGGGGGGCCATGGGAACCTGGAGGGGGGGGGGAGGAGGGTATCGCGTATGCTGGAAGGTACTGCTGCAGCCGCTACTGGTGCGACATTCAAATCGTTACAACTCCACATTAGCTCGCAGTATACGGGTGCACGAAGCAGGGTCCTGAGCCGGGCCTGCCAGTGTTTGGCGGTGTGTGTGTGTGTGTGTGTGCGTGCGGTCAATGTGCATCATGAGCTGCATGTCAGGTTTCTGAGTGAATGGCCCCCGGGGGGGGGAAGAGGCCCCGGAGGAACCGGATGGTCAAATTGGATACTATTCGTACTTGGGAGTCATTCGAACTCGGGCGGCCGACATTTGTGCCGTACTTTTTCCAGTAGCAGTACTGAACAACTATCCATTTGTCGACCCCAAAGCAGGATTCGTTGTGCGGTGTGTGGTCGGACGAGGTTGCATTTCTTACATGGCTATGTACGGTTGCAGTAACGTGCTGTTTGAAAATGTGCGTTCCAGTGCTTTTGGGCGTGTTTCGACTGTCGAACGAGGGGATCTTGTTGTGCTGTGCGGGTGACACGCAGTCTCCCTGGAGCCCCATTCCGTGGGCAGTTCGTAGCTGTGCCGACCAACGTGATCAGGTTGTTGGTGCACCGCCTGCTCCCACGTTTTCAAGTTCGACCTTAGTTACACTGCCCCATTGTAAAAGGAATTGGACATGACCGCTTATGTCATGCTTTGTCAAGCCTGACAATAATTTGATGGCAGGAGTTTAAGAGCAAGTAAGACGTGTTTAGAAATTGATGAGCCGATATGCTCCGATGTGTGACGAGTGCTGAGATGCGTGTGTGTGTGTGTGTGTGTTGGGGTGGGTTGGAGTGCGTTTCTCCGGACCTCTGCCGTGTGGGTGAGATCCACGAAGAGGACCCCCACGGCATCTGTCTAATAATCCAACCATTATTGGACGGAAGCTTTACAAGCAGCGGAAAGTTTTCTGCGTATTCGACTATGTAAAGGTTAATATGTAAAGGTCTATGTCTAAGAAGCGGGAAATAAATAAACAGCGCGCGCGCGTTTCTTTGGTCCAGCAGTTTTTGCCCCGGCTCTCTCAGGTCCTATCTCTCCGATAGTGTGTATCACCACCATTGCTCTCTGATCGCATGTACTCGGTAACGGTTACGGAGTTGTAACGGTAACGGTAACGGCTTTCGGTTGATGTCCCGTCTTCCTTCTGAGCGCAGCGGCAACTACACCATACAGGATATCTCACCTACTACCGTTGTGATGTGTGTGTGCCTGTGCGTTCATCATCTCTGGGAATTTGGCGCCCTGTGGTATCACCCCAACCACAGCTTCGGTTGGCAGATTGCCAAGATACGTATATCCTTGCTGTAGAGGCGCTCCTGCAGAGGGGCTACCAGAGGTGACTAGCCATCAAATAGCAAGGGAGCGCTTCGGACTGTGCGGGAAGTCAGTGCGCACATACCGAACCGAATTTTCACGAGCCAGAGCAGTATTAAGGCTTGCGTTGCGTCGCATCAAGACGCTTCAGCAGATTCGAAGAAGATTGGGCAAACCGCAAACCAAATACACCATGTTGGGCTCCTGTGCTCCAGGTATGCGCCTTCCCCGACCCCTCTTCCCTCCGCCGTTGCCAGTCCCCTACGGACTCCGCCCATTTGGGAGATATCTCCGCCATTCTCTTACCGCAGGGCGAAGCGAAGATACGCACCACTCCTGGATCGGCCCAAGCAAGCACCCACCCGTCCAGCCGTCCATCCACCACACTTTCAATCACCTCCTGTTTCGCTGGACCCGCCGCTCCCCCTACCTTCTCAACGATAACAATCTCCAGTTTTGCCAGTCCCAGCTCGTAAGCCCAGGACCCCCCAGGCTGCCTGGACAGGTGGGGGAGCACCTCATCAATCAACTCACACACAGCCCCCAACGGCCCCAACCGACACAACCCGCCGGAGGGCGCCACCTGTCACCTGGCACACACCCTGCAGGTGATGGCGCTCTCCGGACTCCCCCCCGGTCCATTCACACATTCACACAAACTGATGGCCACTTTCGTCGGTACCTTCCGCACAAGCCCCACCGGCCACCACAGTCTCGATCAGCTAGCTCCATGCTCAGCTCTAAGCTGCTTCTCCCCTAGCTGTCCCCCTAGCTGCGGAAGGTCAGCTCAGCTAGTGAGCTCCCCTCGCCGTCATCATTAGCGCTCCAGGCCGACAGCCCCTCCAGAGCCACCACCGCTCCCCGGACACCGGCCGCAGCCGCGTCCGCCAGCACGGTCCGTAACCCGGCAGCTGACCCGCGGGTCACTCGCGCCCCGCCCTGGCCGGCCGCAGCTGTGGCTGTGGCTGCGGTTGGCGGGCTGTTGTCGTTGTCCTCCTCGCCTTGGATTCGCAGCGCCTCCATGGCGGCGGCAATGGGGAGGGTGCGGAAGGCGGCCGCCAGGCTGCGGACCGCGGCCCTGCGGACCTGGGGGGAGAGCCACGGGCGGCGTTAGGGAGTTTGAGGAGAGGGAGAGCAAGGAGAGGGAGGGAGGAGAGGGAGAAGGGAGAGAAAGGGATAAATAAGCAGGAAAGAGGGAACAACGCGTCTCAAGGGCAGATGTGGAAAAAGCGAGTCTCAAGGTGTTGGTAGGGAAAGTTAAAACGGGTGTTGTCGGTGTGTGCCGTGTGGCTCAATGCGGTCGGTTCCGCACCAGCCAGCACACCCTGCATATCTCCTTCCCGAGTCCCGGGGCCCCAACAGATGCAAGCACCACGTCCAACACAATGCATACAACCGTGCGTGTCCGTGCGGTTGGTCCGGTGGTTGCGGGTGCAGCCCGCGGACGTGTGTGCTGTACAAAAACCGCACACCTGTTGTGCGTGTAGCCCTAAGATTGCCCTGAAACTGGGTCGAGGTGCGGCGTTCAGGAGCTTCAGGAAGCCGTACCAGTCGCCAACAGCTAGGGAGGACAGGACCTGCTGGGAGAGGGCCAGTCCGGTGGGGGGGATAGGAGGGGGAGCGGCGGTAATGGCGATGGTGGTTGGTGGATTGGTTTTCAGGCATGACTGCTTGGCCAACGGGGCTTCCTACCCGTGCGATATGTATACATACCTAATAAATGTATATATACGTATATTAGATATATACATATACATATTATATATAGGTATATACGGTGTTCTCCTCTTCTTCCTGTTTTGGTGGAGCGACCTACCTGCGGAGAGCCATCCCTGGGTTCGTCCCTGGGCATAGTGAGCTCTTCGGTCGCTCTTCGTCATCCGGGGGGAGCAGGTCGCAGCTGGGGGGGGGAGGCAGTGCTTCCCGGTAAGAGCATGTCTCCCCCCCCCGGAGGGGGGAAAATCGCAACCTTCACTTCCATTTGCTATTTGCGCTATTTGAATATATACGTCTTCTTGGGGCGGGGGAGATGGTGCTTTAGTTTACGCAGGCGGGCTGAGGGAAGTTAGGGTTTTGAGTCGTCAGCTACTGACAAGTTTGCTGCGCCGCAGCTTTGTCCTGGTGCTCAGCCGTACCAGCATCCGAGTCGCAATTCTACAAGAATCAACTGCCCACCTTGATGGTGAACTGCAACAGCAGCAGGGGATTGGCGGCATCCCTGCCGCTGTCCGTCGTCGCGGATGTCATGTACGACAATGAGGCCGGGTTTCGGAGCTGCGCCGCCGCGTCCACCAGCCGCCCTGACGGCGCACACGCCAAGAAGAGTACGTGCGCCGCCACCATCTCCCCCCGTCGGTTGCTGCTACTGCGGTTTCCCTGTCCTGCAAAACCGCCGCCATCGGGGTCCCCGCCTCCGCCGCCTCCGCCTCCGCCGCCGCCATTCCACGTGCTTGCTCCTGTGTTTTGGCTGCGGCCACCTTCCATTGCTTCACATCCATCACTACTGCCGTTGCAGCCGCCTACGCCGTCGCCGCCTACGCCGCCCTGTGGAGCTCGTGAAGCTCCACCAGCGGAGCTACTGCTACTGCTACTGCTACTGCTGCCGTCGCCGACCTGCTCCCGTCCCCCTGTGCCTGTCCCCCCGTCGCAACTGCGCTCCTCCACAGTCTCATTAATCCCTCCAGTAGCGCCAGCAGTAGCACCTGCATCAATAGCAGTGGCAGTAGCTGCAGCTGACGGTAATCCTCGCGCCGTCACGGCAGCACACCGCCGCTGCTGCTGCTGCTGCTGCTGCTCCAAGTGCGGATAGAGGTCACCGGTGAGTCCCGCCACGGACTTTAGGAACTCGGGCCAACACCGCGCCGCCAAACACACATCCACGGAGCATTCGTACACCTGTCGTACATGCGACGGCAAGGTGAGGGGCCAGCCGGCGAAGGGGCACAGGGCGTGCGTGCGTGCACGTGCGTGCCAGGTACAGGGGGACAGGATGGGGCTCTTGGCGGTGTGGCAGGTGGGCGAGCCGTATCTGGGAGCAGGTGCTGCCAGTATGAGGAGGAGTCGGGCACGTGTGAGGAGGGTGGGGGAGAGAGAGTTTGGGGAACAGCATAAGAAACACGAGAAAAGGGTAGGGGATGACCGGGCGTAACACCAGTGGGGAAGCTGTCCAGGACAGGAAAATGATTGAAAAATTTATTTGCCGGGATTCCAAACACACCGAGAGGCGATGGCTGCGGCAGGGAAAACTAACTACTGTGTTCGAACCCCGCCGATGGTGGGTACCAGGGCTTCCAAAAGCTGTTATTGCCACTCAGCCGTTACCTGGATAGCAAACTCGTCCCGGACGTATGCCGCGACAAGGGATTCCCGCAATGACCGAAAACGACGTACGGCGCTGTCTAGCTCTTCCGCACCTGCGCGGAAGAATGTGCTGCTTATAGACGAGGAAGAACATTCTTCCAATATGGTATCGAAATGCGCTGGAGTTCGTAAGTTAGACGCCTCACTTGCACATCCCGCCTTTGCGCGCCTGAGGAGCTCCTCTGCAACTGGCTGCAGTCTAGCCCAACTTGATCTGCATGCTTCAACATCTCCTGCCTCGCCGACTAATAAAGTTGGCCTTGGCGGCAGAGCACGCCTACATATGATTTGTAACGCAACTGGTTACCACCGCCCTTACTTCATTGGATTGCTTTTGTGACATAAAAAAAATTTCACCCAGATTGCTTTATGCGCACCCCTTAGACACGGCTTCCATGTATCCAATGCTGAAGGGCTGGTTTCAATCCATACTGACGGTTTCGGCATAGCGCGTATATCGGCCCAAGCCTCACGTATTACCATCAATCATATTCAAAGCGAGCCGCAAGGTTTAGCAACCCTGTCAGCGTGCGCGCAAAGTGCGTCGGCCTCAACGCGTTGGTACGGTGTTACAGTTGCGCCAACGGTAACCTCCTTTCCTCATATCCGTGTACACATCCAGTGCCACAAGCACGTGACTCAGCTGAAGGTCCGCCCAAGAAACACCTTCACGTAGCTCACGCCTTCGAGCCGAATCCCGACTCCGGCCCGAACGACATGTACTTAATCTTTGGCGGCGGCCACGCGGATACCTCAGCTTCTGTCCCGTCCTGCTGCTCCTGCAGTTGTTAAATGGCCAGTTAGGGCATTAACTCGCATTTCATTGAAATCTAGGGAACACATATATGGGCAGCCGTCACAGCCCGTAACTCTCTCTCAGACTCCCACCCCCCCGTAGCGGCACGCGGTCCCCCACCCTGTACGGAACCCCTACCCCGCATTTCGCACATCTATAATTGTTTTCTCAATACAGAACGCCGTGTAAGCGATCAGAAGAGCAGCCAAACTGCTCGTCTAGGCTAGGCTAGGGCTGTACGGCCTGTAAAATGCACCGTCATAGATATGTTATGCAGTACACCCAACCACAGGCCCAAGCCGATTACTTCAAGTCTTAAATGGAAGGAGACATCTCGCAGTTGCCCCTCAACCAAACCGCGCGAACTAACAAACTAACAAATCGCGCCAACTAACAAACCCGGGTGAACAAACCCGCACCCCACCAGCCACATTACATATACGCTCACACATGCACGCAACGACACGCTTACCGTATCTTACCCCCCTCACAAACCTGCGGAAGTTCCCATCTCTCTACCACATTCCATCTTCCCCTCCCCCCCCACCGCGCGACAATTCCTCGCCCCGACCGCCCCCACCTCGTAGAAGGCCAGCAGCAGGTGCTTCCTGGCCGCATGCGACCCACGGGCCACTGCCTTGAGCACCATGGGGTTCAGCGCCTCCTCCGCGGACACCGGCCGCACCGTGAACTGGGCGTGGTAGAGGGAGGGGTCCCCCGGATAAGCCAACATGTCAGAGCCGAACTTGATACCCCCCGTCATCATGTAGCTGCAGAGGTGGGCGGGCGGGCCCGGAGTGGGTCCAGGTGGGATGGTCCAGGAGGGACAGAGGGCGGGGAGCCGGAGGGGCCGGAGGGGCGGGGGAAGGAAAGACTCATGACCGCCGGCCCCACGTCCGCAGCCAAGGGATGATGGGGGTCGCCGTCAAAGGGTCACGAGGGTACATCACATCACATGAGGGAGACCAGACATACGCAGTAATGACGTGCGCTACGGAAAGGGCGAGGATGGAGGCAGGGCATGGAGGGGAGGGGAGGGGAGAGACGAACCACGAACGAATGAAGCTGCTGCCAGGGCAAGAGTGTAGGGAGGGAGGGAAAGGGGAGGGAGACAGGGATGGAGGCAGGAATGGATGGATGGATGGATGGAGGCAGGGAGGGGAGGAATAAGGGTGAAGGGAGCGGCAGGGACCTCCCCACCATTATACACCCACTCACCCACATCGACCCAACCCCCCGGGTCGCCCACCCACCCACCCACCCCTGTCGGTGCAAGTCGGTGAAGACGGCGAAGCGGAGTCGCTCCTGGGGGGTGGAGGGGTAGCACCAAACCACACGGCTGAGGCCTGGGCAGGACGGGCGGGAGGGGAGGACGAGATGGGCCGGACAGGACGGGTTGTGGGGTTTCGGAGCTGCAAAACACGTCCAGCAGGGCGTGCCAGGACGCCGCACCCCGAAGGTAATCTCGTTCAAGTGAGGACTGCATCAGCAACAAAGTTTACAGCACAAAAAAAAACCGACTTCGAACTGCTGCCCTAGCAGTTCGAAAATTGCCACCTCTGCCCCCCCAACATCTTTTCCCCCCTTCCCCTTGTGCCTCTTAAGCCTCACAGCACAGCGCCCGTACACCGCCGGCTCCAAAACCCCCTCCCCGTGTACCTCCATCGGACGCGGGTCGCGTCGCAACCGCAGCCGCTTCTGCCCCTGTCGGTGCTGCTGCCGCTGCCATAACCCCATCCTCCGCATCCTCCGAGCCCCTCAGTCCTGCTGGCGCCGCCGTCGCCGCTGCGCCTCCGCCGCCTCTAGACGACCCGTCGGCTGCCACCTCCGCCTCCGCCGGCGCGGCATGCCCCGCTCGAGATGCTGCAGCCTCCGCTGCCGTCAGCGGCAACTTGTACGACCCACCATCTGCTACCGCCGCCCGCCAGGCCGGCTCCGAGCGGTCCACTGCTTCCGCCGCTGGCGGCGCCGCCTCCGCCGCCGCTGTGGACGTCTTCCGGCTTTCCCTGTCGCCGTTTCCCTCCGCACCCGTACAACAACAACCTGCTCCTGTCCCCCTCTGCACCTCGACAGCGGAGTCCGCCTCCTTCCGAGGTGCCTTTCTGCTGGTCGTTGTCGTTGTTGTCGTTGTACGGGTGGACTCTAGCTGCAGATCGGACAGCTGCCGCCGCTTGGAACCCAGCAGTAAAGGCAGCACGCGGCCCGTGAAACCGGCCCGTGGGTCGTACTGTGAGTAGTACTCCTGGTACGCGGCTTCCCAATACGGGTCGGCCGCCGCGGGGTTCCAGGCTCCGCTGCCGCCAGGTCGGCCGCCGCCTGCGTTGGAAATCCTAGCGGCGGCAGCGGTGGCCGCCGCCGCTGCCGCCGCGCGAATTGGCGCGGAGGTCTCCGGGAACAGCTCAATCCACCCTGGCCACGTGGGGGCATGGTGGAGTGCTTTTCTTGGGGGGAAGGGGAGGATTGAATGATGGATGGACATCGTGTGACTGGCCATGAAGGACGAGGAGGATAGAGCGATGAGCGCTTCCATTGTGGTGTACACGTGGTTGCAGTTCGTTGAGCCCTTTCCGGCCCCCCTTAGAGCCGTTTGCGGTTCTGAGGCCTCACTCGCCATTTCCACCTCGCAATACGGGGGCGGGGTGGGGTGAGGTGGGGTCGGGGTGAGGCTGGGGCAACCCGGCCACCGCTGGGCCCGTGGCTCACACAAATGCCAAATGAGAGATATGTGCATACCGGATAGTAAGTAAGGAAGGGAAACAACGCGACATCGATATTCTGTTCTACTTCTTTGCGGGGAAACGCTGGCGGCCGTTGCTACTGCTGCTGCTACGGCTACTGCTCCCGTACAATGCCGCCGGCACGGCGGGCCCTTGTAAAGGCGAAGCACGTCTCCCATTCCTTTTTGATTTCTTGCTTAATAATGTTATATACGCTTCTCAGAGACAATTTTACCTTGCCTCGTTGCTAGAGTCACTTCATCGGCGCTAAGCTCCAGGGGCAGGTAGTTGACCTCGTTCTGGCTTTTGTATTCTGCAGCGCATGGAGGGAAGGCGGCATCGCAGCTAGGTCTTAACACGCAGCCGCGGTACCGTCTGAGGTATCAGACATCAGCGAATGCAACGCAGTGACGTGGGGTGCGGCCCCACACGTCACAAGGTGACCCTCAGAAGGCCCCCCTCAAGTCAGAGAAAAGTATCAAACGATTCCGGAAGCCCGTGAGGTGGCGTTTGGTCGAAGGGGGAATGAGGTGGTCGTGCCGCAGGCCTGGGGTTCTGAGGTTGAGCTCAGGGTCAAGTCCGTTCCGGCGGCGGCAGTCAACTGGGGTTGGGTCAAGACAAACGCTATAGGTGTAATCCTTTGACCAACTGTATCCGGTCCTCAGTTTTTTTACTTACGGGCAACGTTGCCAACCAAGCAACCCATTATACGGTGTTTTTTCCGGAGTCGCATCGCCCCTGTGGTTGGTGCAGCCAAGCCAGCCATGAATTGCGGGACGATTTTATTACAACTGATAATGAGCACTGCAATAGGTACTAGGTTGTCGTGAACACACCGCTTGCATCCCATACATATCCTTTGCTCCCGGCAATGTAGCACGGTATTGGCTTTTCCATATGGAACCGTAGTGCAAATTGATGAATGTGTATTTAATAATAAAATTGGAACAACTTTCTACTCCATGGTCGCGAGCAGCCTATGAATCATGGTGCCTGGGTCACGCCGTTGAGTCATACCATGCCAGGCATGGCAAGGTTGCAAGACAAGTAAACAACCCTGCTTTACCATCATCTCACTTTAGAAACATATCTAGAATGTCTTAACATTGTTGTTATCTCCCGTCTGTTGTTTGAGTTGGAGCTGTTTGGAAAGGGAAATGAACTTTGCTCAACGAACAAGGACGAGTAGCGTATATAGATATACGCAGTCCAATTTGATCTTACCGTGCTCATGGACGAATTGTCATCAAATTCACGTTCCCGGGACAATTGGGCGGCTCCGTCCATGTTTGCTAGCAGGGCCCGGCGAAGGGGCTTCTTGCAACATGTCAGACTCAAATTCAATTGTCTTCGTAAATAAACTTGGTGTCTCTTGCGGAAGTTCGCGGGAGCTGTCACAGCTAGCACCATCCGACGCGACCGCTGGGACCGGCAAATCCCGCTTGTTCTTCCAGTTATGGCAAACGTTACGCACCTCTCTTGCAGCCACAACACGATTACTGGCAATAGCGCTGGTGTTCTGCCTTGCAAGTCTTCTCCCACGTCCCGCTCCATGCGCTGCCACCGCTGCTCCTGGACGTCCGAGCGTGCTTACTGCCACCTCACTCACATCAGAACCCAGAAACAACAACATCAGCAAAGGCAATAGCGTCAGCACCTGCATCCTCCCCAGCTGCACAGCCGAGAGCAGCAGCAACAGCAACTACGATCCCCTGGACACCTCACCGTACACCCCCACCTCCTCCTCCTCCTCCTCCTCCCCTTCCCCCTCACAACTCTACATATCACCTTCATCTTCATCCTCGGCACCAGAGCGCCGCAGTTCCAAACGGACACCAGTAGCCGTGCCCCTAGCAGAACTGGCCTCATCAGCCGTCGCCTTCGCATCCGGCCCTCCTGCCGCCGGGCCCCCCAGCCGCCCCCCACCAACATGGAGGGATCCCCACCCTGCAGGCGCTCGCACCTCAGCTCTGGCCGCCGCCGCACCAGCAACCCCCCTGGACCTCAGCCCCTCCAAGGCCATGACGCTACCTACCAGCAGTTCCAGCAACGGCAGTAGCAGTAGCGTTCAGGCGACGGCGGTAGCAGCAGGCGGTGTGGGAGAGGGGACTCCGGCAGGGGAGGATGCTGATCCCGGGGCGGTGGCTCTGGCGCAGCAGCTGGGTCTGGGTGCGGGCGAGGCGGCGGTGATCCGGCTGTTTGAGCGGCACCGGGCGTCCGTGGTCAATATCAGCGGAATGCGGGCCATGCAGGTGAGCATGGGCAGCGCGTGCGTGAGGGTGGGCGAGGAAGGTGTACCGGAGCAATAGGGGCGCACACGCACACGCACGCACGAGCGCGTGTGTGTGTGCGTGTGTGTGTGTGTGCGTGTGTGTGTGTGTGTGTGCTAGTAATCTTCGAAGCGATGAGGGAATTGCCGATTATGGCGGTACACGAACTTAACTTTACCGAATCAAGCTCCGTAGTCACCAGCAGCGACGTGTTAGAAATTTCCGACCAAACTGTCAACGTTCCGTGTGTGTATGTGTATGTGTATGAGTGTGTGTATGTGTATGTGTATGTGTATGAGTGTGTGTATGTGTAAGAAAGGGGAGGGGGGGAAGGGCGGTTAAGGAAAAGACCAAGGAGCCACAGTGACCGCGACCCGACCAGTGCACCGGGGTTATACTTATACACACAAACACACGGGCAGGCAGCTAAACGACACCACACAGCATCTGCTCCCCACCTACCCTTTTCCTCTTGTCAACTCTCACCTCCCGATTGCACCGGCCGTACTGCCGTCGTACAGACCTTCACCACGCTGGATCTTGGCAAGCTGCCATACGGCCAGGGCAGCGGGTTTCTGTGGGGCGACAAGGGCCACGTGGTCACGTGCTACCACCTGGTGAAGGGTGCGGCGGAGGTCAAGGTGGGAGAGGGGGACGGCCGGAGGTGAAGGGGGGGGAGGGGGGGGGAGGAGGGGGTTGAATTGAAAGAAAAAGAGGAGGACAGGAGGAGGGCTGTGTGTATGCAATGCAATGCAATGTAGGTGGGGGGTGGGGGTGTACAGGAGGGGTAATGAGGGGGGGTTGTAGTTCGGCTGGTGGGGTCTGAGAACGGTGTGGGTGTGTGTTTGGGGGTGTAGGCGGGAGGAGTCGTACGAAGCCGGGGGGGAAGGGGGAGAGGGAATTGCCGGGGCGGAGGAGCGGGCGAGGATTGCGTCAGTGGATTGAGTCCCCCTTCCTATCTACCATTCATACAGACAGAGATACTCACCCTCTGCCATCACATCACCATCATCGTCTCCAAAAAGAGCCATTCATAGATTCGCTAGATAGCTCGCTCACTCACTTCCCCACTCCCCTAGAACAGTCATCATCAGTGTTTTATTGCCTTTACAAATAACTCCCCCCCTGGGGGTCGGGGGAGAGGTCACATGCGGGTTTTGCAGTCTAAGTGTTTTAGGGGGTTTGTAGACTGGTGGTAAAGAGTGTCGTACGGCACTGGTGGACTTGTCACGTTGACTGCGTTGACCAAATGTGTGTGTATGTCTCGGTTTGACTGCCTGAATATCCACCCGTACCTCGTATCCGGTACTCAGTACATCCCCCTTGTGAATCCTCCCTCTTCGTGATGTGCCTTGAAGGTGACGCTGTACGACAACTCGTCGTACACGGCCAAGGTGCTCGGGTACGGTGCATTAGCTGGAATGCACGGCTTATGCACTTGTGTATGCCTGTGTGTGTGGGGTGGCCCCCCGGGCTGGGTGGGGCACGTGGTCAGGGGTAAATGTATGTATGTTGTTTACAGGGTGGTATAGCTTCACCAGCGGCCCCCTTTCCCGAGGCAGTTCCCTGCTCTCCCGTGCGAGAGGGGCACCCTAATCCATTCACCCCATCCGATTTCAGATAAATGTATGTATGTATGCATGTTCAGGGTATGGGCTGGGCGCCTACCCCAGCCCCAACCTCCCCCCCCCCCCGCCCTAGCCCAGCCCAGCCCCGGTGAAGGGGCCGGTGGGCGGCTTCCTGGCTCGCGCTGCCCGCTAAAACCCAAACCCGACACCCTGGGGGTGGGGGGAGGGGAGGGAGGGGTGGTGGGGGGACCGCCATCATGACCAACGCAGCCATGCATTTACGCATCCGGTCACACTTCCTTCCCTCCCGGCCGCCGTACATAGGTACGACGCAGCCAAAAACGTTGCCGTGCTAAAGCTCTCGGTGCCCAAAAGCAAGGTTGGTGAATGTTGGTTGGAAAAGGGGGGCTAGGGTGGGGGTGGTGGTGGTGGGTTTGGTGGGGTGGTGGTGGTGGTGGTAAGTGGAGTGAAGTGGCGTCCAAAGCTTTATCGGTAAAGTCATCGTCCTAGGGTTTCGGAAGTAAGGGTGGGGCTCCCCCCATCTCACCGAGGGGGGGAGGGGGAGGTATTTCTTAAAGGGCAGGGCGATAACCCCCCGGGGCGGGGAGGCGGGGGAGGGCCGCGTCTCCCGCATCCTGCCTCTGTCCCGCAGGACCCGGCCATGACGTGCGTTCACCCCCCGTCGGCCTCCCACCTTTTGCAAGTTGCGTTGCGCAGTACCGGGCGCCCCCTCTTCTCTCTCCCCCTCCCCCCTCCCCCCTGGCTCATCCCCTGCCCGCCCGCCACTGCCACTGCAGCTTCGTGAGCTTCAGCCAGTGACCCTTGGGTCGGCTGCTGGACTGCGAGTGGGGCAAACGGTGTACGGCATTGGTAACCCCTGGGGCCTGGGGCACACACTGAGTCAGGTGCGTCCTGGGGACCATGGGGGCATGGGACGGGGACGGCGAGATGAGGGGAGAGTTTGGGGGCCGGGGGGTGAGAAGCTGCCGGGAATGTGCTGGGAGCGATAGACACACACACACACACACAGAGTATCGGAGGCGGTTTCGTCGGTCGCCAATTCCAATTTCTAATTCCATTCCCTAACGTACGATCGGAAGCGCTTCCCCTCCGGTCGGGACAAGCAACCCCTCCCCTTACCCCGGTCCGTGTCCCTCGGGGGTGGGGGATTTAGGAGGTCGTACACAGCGTGTGTGTGTATGTGGGTCACTGCACGTGGCCCTTCTCCCCCAGGCAGTTGTTTCTTTGTTTATCTGCATGCGCTGTTCCCCTCCTTCCCAAACGCATACATACATACATACATACATACATAGGGTTTGGCACTACTGGTAACGCGCGACCATTGCCCCCGGGAGATCCCGGGATCGATACCCGTAAGGGTCAAAAATCCTTCCGATGGTGGAAGGTATTGCGCCCCTAGTTGATGGACGGTGGTGACCTGGGATAAAGTTAACCTGCGAGCCGACCAGGAATGGAGTTGGGCCGCTGTCGACCCGGCAGATTCCGTTGGATGCTGGTGGTGGGTGCGGAACCTGAGCGATCCACTGAGAAGTTGACTAGGGTGACTGGATGAGGGTGCCCCGAAATACCGGGGAAGGCAGGGTTTCGCAGGGTAGCTGCCACGGGCGAAGATACACCCCCCTGTTTCACACATCATACATACATACGTACGTGCGCACACACACACTCGCAGGGTCTTGTGAGCGGCTTGTGTCAGGAGCTGTCCGGCGGTCTGTTCCCCATCAAGGGGGTTATCCTGGTGGACAGCGCCCCCGACCCGGGGGGGAGTGGGGGGGTGCTGCTGGACAGCAAGGTGGGTATTTGGGGGGGGTGAGGGGAGATAGTGGTTGGGGGGAAGAGGGGAGAGGGAATTAAAAATGGGGGTGAGGAGGAACGGAACGGAGGGGAGAGGAGGGGAGGGGAGTGCAACGCGGACCGGGGCGAAACCCGCAGCAGCTCCATATCCATTTCTTGTTATGTTTTCTCCGTCGGGGCCGCCCCGCGCTTCTCCCGTACACGGATGCAGTTCTCGAAGGGGACGGAGGGAAAGGCTGGTGTGTGTCTGTCTGTTTGTTTGTCTGTCTGTTTGCGGACGCCGGTGGTGGTGTACGGCTGCAAGGGAGAGAAGTACGGCGTGTGTACGTTTTTGCCAAGAGCAGGACAGAATGTGTGACTGTGTGCGGCCGTTCGTACGACGATTGCCGTACATCGTTTATGATGGATTTGATCGAAGTGGAGGATCTCCCCGTGGCCCTCTTCCCCCTCCTGGCGCCGCCAGGGCAGCCTGGTGGGGCTGTTGGTGACACCGCCAGCCAGCAGCGGCGGGGGCGGGGCCGGGGGGGGCAAAATGTCCTTCGCCGTGCCCATTGACGCCATTCGCGGTCTTATCAACCAGATTCTGGCGTACGGCAGGACCGTACGGCCGGCGATGGGCATCACGATGGCGCCGGCACAGGTATGGGTACGGCAGTCCCCTGTATTGAGCCGCAGGATTTCCCCAATAATGGGGGGGTGGGGAAGGGGGAGTGGGGTCTGGGGACACAGCGTGTGTGTATGTGCATGTGTGTGCATGCCGTAACCATCTGGGACGTTGTAGCATGGTATGTATGTATGTATGTATGTATGTATGTATGTATGTTATAACAGGCGACAAGCAGTATGCTTACACTGTTGCGTCTTGTGGCCCGTTGCCATCGACCCGTCCACCTAGTCCAGCAGCTTCTGTTGCCGGTTGGTGGCCGGTTGCTGCCCGTGCTGGTGACTTTTGTCTCTCTGTTGCTCTCCTCCCTCGGTTGTTTGCAATCTTTTAACTATGTGCTACTGTAACTACAACGCGCACGTTTCCGACTGCTGTACAGGTTCTGGAGCGTGTGGGTTTGGAGGGTGTGTTGGTGCTGGAGGTGCCCCCGGGTTCCCCCGCACATGCGGCGGGGCTGAGACCCACACATCGAGGTAGGTGTCGGCAGCATCCCTCAGTAGCGCTGCTGGGGAGCGGGATGTTCTTTTCGGGAGGTGGGGGGTAAACCGTGTGCGTATGTATGTATGTATGTGTGTATGATTGTGTGAAGTAGGGGGAGTTGTAGATTTACCCGCGTGCGCGTGCGCGCGCGTGTGTGTGTGTGTGTGTGTGTGTGTGTGTGTGGCCTCCCTCTACTAGCCCGCTGGCCGAGTCCCCCTACCACCCAGCCGTCTAAACCTCCAGGTGGAATGTTTTTAGCAGGTCTCGGGCTTCCGTGTCTCGACAGCCAACCGTTAACTGTCAGTGTACAGTTTCTTTTTCATGTGTTCCATAACCACCACCACCAACTAACACAACTGCTCCCCCGAATCCCCCGAATCCCCCCCCCCTCCGGGGGTTGGTGTGTCGCCTTCGTGCAGACATTTTCGGGGATCTGGTGCTTGGGGATGTCATTACGGGGCTGGACGGCAAGGCCGTACGTTCGTCAGCGGATTTGTACGACGTCCTGGACGAGCACCGAGTCGGCGACCGTGTTAAACTGGACGTGGTGCGGGACGGCAAGCAGATGGGCCTTACGGTCACCTTGGGGGAGCGGTTGCTCGGAGCGGTGGAGGAGTGATAGGGGGGAGGAGTATGTCTCGAAGCCGAGCTGTGTGTGTATATGGACAACGGCTCAAAAAGCCATGACACCGCCATGACTGTGTGTGTGTGCTTATGTACTGTGTGCTTATGTACGTATGTGTATGTATGTTGTATATGCATGTATGCGTGTATGCGCGTGTGTATGCGTGTATGTATGTGTATCTGTATGTATGTGTATCTGTATGTATGTGTGCGTCTCTTTCAATCGGTGGTGAAGTGGAAATGTTGCCCCATTCAGTCGACGGTGCATCGGGGGCCCCCCTCGTTGAAGTGCCCTCTGTCCACGGCCTCCGTGCGCCGCTGGGGGTGCGCCGCTGGGGGGAGTGATGATACGTTTCGTTTCGTGTCCTTGTTATTAGCGTCTCGTTAGGGTTTTGGCACTTTGCCAGTTAGTTAATCGGTTAGTCAGGTATTAGTTGTGTTAGATAGTTGTGCGTTAGGTGCTCCTCTCCTTATGATGGCAGGTCTCTATCAATTGCATGGAGGGGAGGGGCTCTTTGAACTTCCGCACCACATGAGCTGCATGGAGGAGGCAAGACATGAACGTGGACAGAGGGGACCTGCACCACCCCCCACCACCCTCCAAAGGCCCGATCGGCCCCCAGCCGCGGGAGGGCGGTTGGCGCATGTGGCTGTGGTGCATTTGTGCACCAAGTTACAAAGGGGCGGGGTAAACTTCCCTAAGTCCCACACAAAGGCGGTGGCGCCCGCGAAAGCCTGGGGGGGCCCATGGCCCAGAATGGGGCCCTGGCCCAGAGTCCTGTCCTCTGGACCGGGTCGCTATAGGGCCGTTAGGTAGAGAGGAAGGTATTAGATTGCAGAAATTGGTTATTGGGTAAACACACGGCCAGCTGGCAATGTATGTATGTCAGCTGACACCGAGCTGCATTTTGGGGGGGTGGGGTGACATATGCTGGATTGGAAGCGATGGTAGCGTAAAGGGTACCCCTGCAGGCTCAGCAGCCGATCGCCGGAGAGGGTGATGCCTGCAGGGGGGGCGGAGGAAGAGGAGGACGGGAGCGGCGTTTGTTGTGCAGCAGGCGTATGTGGGCGGGTTGGGAGGGAGGGATGGAAGGAGAGGCCACGACCGCCGCCACCCCCGCACTCGCGCCCGCAGCAGTCCCCACCACCGGCACCCCCCAGAGGAGCTGCAGCCGCCAAAAGGGAGGTTACCTTGTACCGGTGGTGGGGCCGGCCATCATCCGGCAATCCGCAATCATCGTGGCGCTCTCGAGGACTTCTAGAAAGAGAGAGGAGAGGGACACAGCAAGGAGGTGTAGAAGAAGGTACACAAGAAAAGAAAAAACAGGAAGTTCAGGCGTAGAAACACACCGTAGAACACATACATACACACACACATTACGCTACCGACACGCTGCAGGTTCACGCTGTTGAAAAGGGAAGGGGCCTGTAAAGGGAAACCCGGGTGCCGTACTGCTTCCTCTCCATTCCAAATGTGCGAACTTGAGAGCAATCAACACGTAAGAGAACAACTCTTTAACGTTGGGTCGACGAGGTTGCGGCGCACAAGTGCTGCACATGATTGGGTGTGCGGTACCGACATAAGCGAAGTGGTTGTTGTCGTAGCGGTCACTGCAGGGATACATACATACATTCTACGCACTACGGTCAAGCCGCTCCTCCATTGGCGATGCCAAGCAAAGGTTGGTGCCGTGTACATCGCGCGCCAGAGGGACAGGGAGGCTCGGGGACCTTGGTGTAGAGGTGGTGCATGCCTAGCCATGCTTGCATGGCCATCACCCCAGGTTAGGAGGTATTGCAGAAGCGGCGGCCCTCGGCCCCAAATACACACTCAGCTATCTAGCAGCAATCAGCCGTTCAGGATGTTCGGGTGGAGGGGTTCAAGCTCGGGTAGAGCTGTCCTGAACGACAGAATTTAGACTACTCTATCGTCCATACGTATGATACGCATTATTTCCCGACTTGAGCGTGCGCCTGCCTGTGTGTGGTTGAGAATCAGTATGGGGTTGCACGCGTGGCGTTGACTGGATCAGAGAATGTAGTATCGCTGACTAACTTTGTTCAGGGAAAAAATCAGGACTCGTTGATCAATTATATGAATTCTTGGTTTTCAGCTGGCATGGATCTGCTAGTTCAAGTTCTTGTTGGCTCGATGTATTGCTCGTTTAGGCCGACAAAATTAGGGGAAATGCCATTTGCGGATCGCGCTATGCCGTTCCAAATATCCATTTACAGAACTTTATATTATAATCAGAATGCGATTATTACAGCGGACCACGATTGGATAATCTAGGATACCAATGATGGGGCGATACGGTGCATCAAGGATGTACAGTCCGGCAACATTTGTTCGTCTTACTGAAATTTACGACTGGCGACATTATGATAATGGTACTGGCGACAAGGCATGGCTGCTTCACACGGCACTAGCGAGTATTGTGGCGCCTTCTTCCCCTTTATTAGCAACTGTTGTTTTCCGCATCTTTTGGTTTGATTTTTAGTCTAACGAGTTTATTTGAAGCTTGCGAAACAATATTGATGTTTTTAGGTGGGAAACCTAAGTTTTGCGAGTCTGCGAGAATATTTCCAAGGTTCGGCGGCATGGCGAGCTGGTGTCTTGGGGCAGGCCGCCGCTGGGCATAGTTTCCAATTTCATTTGTCCATTTGACCTACTGGGTGCGTACGTTCCGGTTCTACATCGCGCCAGCCTCTTTATCTCGCTTGCCACCTCTATTCCCTAAGCACCCTTCCGTCCCTCCACGCGTATGCTCCTTTCCTTTGGCCTACCCCTCGACCCTCCCTGGCGTGTCGCTATGCCTTAGCATAAGCCAGGCCGTGCCAGGCTGGTTATTGGGCCCTCGTATGTTATAGCCTCCTAAGCCAGGGGGCCCCTCCCAAGCCAGAGAAGCTTACACCTTTCTCCCGCGGCTAAGGGCATCAGTTTATATTACCTTTACTTTCCAGCAAGGGGCTCGCAAACTCGCAGCGGAGCTCAGCAGAGAGGCAGCTGGGATAGCCTTGCCTGCACAAAGATAAAGGCCGCTGTTTTGTCCAGGGATAGGTGCTGAGCAGGAAGGTTCTAATTAACACCTACACACACACACACACACAGACACACACGAGGGGAAGTCGTGCTTCCTACCTTCTGCAACCGACGTTGGTGGAGGAGGGTAGGACACAAGGTCGGGGAGAGCAGATCCTTGGGCTGCCCCGGTCGCACAAACCCTGTGCTTCCTTAATTTGGAGGCTAATTCGACACCCGGACAGGCCAATCCAGACCTGGTCCGCCCACCCGCCAGCCCAATTCCCGGGCTCCACAGCGCAATTCGAATTCCTCCGGCGAGCCTGCCAGAACAATTCAAGACCCCGACGGACCAATAACATTGTCAGGAATATAAATCCAGGCCAATTCTGCGACAGAGCTCTTCCCCAAACCCAGCCCGGATTCTACCCTCCTTTGGTGGCTAAGGCACCTTCGGGTGCAAACGGCGTGCCATACCTATCGATATGTGCTCACCGGTGACTCAATCCATTACTGATACAATCCGTTACTGATACTCAGATATGCACCCCTTGACGAAGTCAGCGTATTATCCCAACTGACAGACTTTCCTGCAATAGACGCTGTCTCTTGCCAGAAATCCCCGGGGCACTAACCACCTCATGGAACCTATGTGCTACAACCTTTAGCCGACAGACAAATAACCACGTAGGAGAGAATTATCAGCGGCCAGGTGAAGATGGAAGGATGTTGCAACTTCTTGAAACTCTCATGGAAACGTGCGCCCTTCATAAGCCAACCGTTCGAACGAGCCAACATCCCCCCAGCCTTTTCCTTAGGCAGCTTTTACTTCGCGTTACTTCGTAATTCTCATTGCCATAAGCATGTAAACGTGTACCGTGTGTGTTCCCATTACCGGTACATGACATTACTGTTAGGTCACTCAGCCGCTGCAACTCTTCGCCACGATGCCGGAAATGCGACTCATCTGGCTTTAAGCGCACAGGATCGTCGGTTATTTATGTAAGCCGTGCTATATAATATGCACACGTATGGCGTGGCCGTTTGCCTTTGTGCCCTGTCTCCCGACCCCCAGTCGGTAACCGAGCACGGCAGAGATACGGTGGTACGGGAAAAATGTTATTCAATAAACCCGTTACGCAAGAGGAGCTACCTGCCGCATCGTTGAGGTTGGCTTGCCCACCTAAAAGGTGGGCAAGAACCAACATATTGGATGAAATGGACGAGCATGCTCGGACTGAGACAATTACTCTTTGCGCAATCCGGCAAGGGCGTCGTAAATCGACGCGCTGCGATCCTGGCCTTGGTGCGGTATTATTGCATATTTGTGAAAAAATGGTAAAATGCAATGCGCAGATGTCCGGAAGATGTGCAGCTTGAAAAGGTGGCCGAGCATAAGGCGGTTACAAAAGTTCCTATGACGCAAATCGACCAGACATATGTGATGTATCACCCTAAATACGGGGAAAGTGAACCACCAGTATTGAATAAATATTATAAGTAGAAACAATGAACTTTGTATTCGAGAATTGCAGGAAGATTTGTGTACGGAGTTGAGTAATTAAACTGGGCTGCGCATTTTCAAGATTAAGGAGCAATGTATCACAGTAAGACGAGGGAGAGGAGGTCTTGGTAGAGGAGGAAGAGGAATGAGAGGAGGGATAGGGAAGAGGAGGAAGAGGAGGGAGAGGAGTGGGGGAGTGAGTTGAAAAGACGAGGGAGAGGAGGGTGAGATGGGAGAGGAGGCAGATGATGGAGAGGGGGAAAGGAGGAAGAGGAACGAGAGGGGGGAGAGGACGGAGGAAGAGGAACAAGTAGGGGGAGGAGGGTATAAGGTGGAGAATGGGGATAAGCGAGGAATGGGGGGAAGGAGATGAATCAGTGTGAAATTGAGGCTTAGCTATATGCGGTTACAAAAGTTCTTCTCAGGCGGCAAGCAAGGAGGAATAATTAGGAAAGGAACTGTAGCTTTAAATTATAGAACGTTCTTGTCGAGATTCTCAACTCGAGAACTACAGGAAGACGCGTACGGTCGAGAATATGAATAGCAAGGATTGTTAAAAGAGGATTAGGAAGCAAAGAGGATGAATTAGGAAAGGAAATGCAGATTTAAATTAGAGGACGTTCTTGTTGAGAACTGCAGAAAGAGGCATGTACGGACGAGAATATGAGGATTAAGGATTGTTAATGAATCACCAAAGTGTTTCCTTTTGATACTCTCATT